CCCAGTAACACCTAATTTTGTAAACAGTAGGCCTGGTTTCAGGTTGTCTGACAACATCCCTCACAGACTTGCAACTCTGCCTAACAGCCACCCCCACTAATGGTACGGCCCACCTCTTTCTCTAATATTGAATAGGTCCTCCATATTCATTGCCTCAGAATACCATTATGATTTACTCTACCTTCTTAAATCTTTAAACCAAGCCTCTTATCCCATAAAAAAGTCATCCTTCAATTGAGCTTTGTTAGACCAAAAAGTAGGTCCACTTTTGGCCACTGGGCACCAAATCTGGTGTAAGCTCCCTGTGTATTTTATTTGAACAAAACCATTCTGAGTGGATTTTACTTTGTATTTTATCTTATCTGTTTGTACTTTCTGATTCTTTTTTAATAATAACTATTTATTGGCTATGTTTTTAAAATGAATAGATATATACACCTTTCTGTGTGTTGGATGCATGTATGTAGATTTAAATTAACCAAATGAGTAAATGAAATTTTGATTAAAAAAGAAGAATAGTACAGTAAAGAAAAGCTCAGAGACCAAAGGAAAGAAGAAATGGAAGAAGGGAGGGAAGGAAGGAAGGAAAGAAGGAAGGAAGGAAGGACGGAGGGAAGGAAGGAAGGAAGGGAGGGAAGGAGGGAAGGAAGGAAGGAAGGAGAAGAAGAAAGAAAGAAAGAAAGAAAGAAAGAAAGAAAGAAAGAAAGAAAGAAAGAAAGAAAGAAAAAGAAAGAAAGGGAGGGAGAGAGTGTGGAAGGAAGGAAAAGGAAGGGAGGGAGGGAGGGAGGGAGGGAGAAAGGGAAAAGGAAAAGGCTTAAGGAATTAGGATGTTTTGTCTGGAGAAGACAAAGCCAGTTGGATAATTTATTCAAGTCAGATGCCTTGTCCCATGTATGGCATAGACTGAGACTCCATATTTGTGTTGAATGGATAACAACAAATTAAGGGAGGTTATATTGATGGAGGCACTAGGTGTTCTTGGTGCCTGCAGAAGGCTAGGTAAGCACTTCCTATCCAGGAAGGAGAGATTTTGTACATATAAGGAAGAACTTCTCCGTCAGCAGGCTGAGAGACATAGAGACGGTCTGAAGTGAAGGTTCTGGCTGGGAGAGCCTCAGAAGAGAGCAGCCATGTATCGTAAGAGAGTTTGGACCATCCACTCACCTAGATGCCAGCCCAGATCATCTCCCAGGGCCCCTCCCAGCCCCGTCAGTGAACCGAGGGCACAAGTCCCGATAATGTTCAGGGAATCAGAAAGTGGAAAGCACCTGACAGTCCAACCCCCTCTTTTTACCCAGGAGAAGGCAGACACCTACATTGGTGAGGTATTCTGACTCCTATGGGCCAGGCCAGGAATGAGAGATGAGAAACCAGAGCAGCCGAATGAGAGAAGGTTACCAGGGAGGGCTCTGGAAATCCTAAACTTTAATGTCCCCAAAGCTATTTGGTCTTGCTAGAACCCTGTGCTTCCCATCACTGAGCCACGGCCCCCCCAAATCATGCACGCTACAAACTGCTTTTCTCCATCTACGCAAATCCCAAGAGCCTGTCTTGGGAACAACATAGGCCATGGGGCTTCATAGCCTAGTGTTATGGCTTATCAGCCATGTGACTCTAAACAAGTGAAACTTAATATCTCTGGGCTTCATTTTCTTCAACTGTAAAATATGGGCAATCATGGTACCTCCTTGCAGAGGTGGTTGTGGGGTATAAATAAGGTAAGGCATGTGGAAGGTTTAACACAGTGCCTGAGACATAGTAAGAATAAGACGTGTTTGGGGATTGTTATCAACAATCAGTGAGCATTTATTAAATGCTTTGTACGGTGCTAATTATTCTGAAAGACAGAAACCAAGATATCCATGACCAAAGTCAAGTAGAAAATTGAGAGCAAATGTTCCTTCAGTACCAAATAAACCATTCTAAAGTCACAATTCTCTTCTTTGCCTGGAAGAGCACAGTCTCTTTTGGTCTCAGCCCCATGGAGGGAGCACTCCCTTAGGATAAGACCCTTGGATTGAGCCCTGCATGAAGACACAAAATTGTTGGTCTCCATCTTTGAGTGACACTTAGTGTCAGTACTCCAAGAGTCCTTAATTAGTTAAGCACCATTCCTGCCCATCAGGCAATCCAAAAGCTAACCCAGGGACTACTCAATCGTTCCCCACTAGAAATGCCAGTGAAGCTCAGAGAGGAGCGTGGCACTGGTGTCCAGCCACACCGCTCTGCTCACGCCAGACTGTCAAAATTCTCTGGGAGAGATTCCCTGCCTTGTTTCCTAGGCATCAAGATGCTAGCCAGCAGTTAGGAGGGTAGGATTAAACAGGGACCCTGTATACTGCTTATGTCGACATCAGTGGCTCTCAAAGGGCAACAAGCCCCACCTTTTTTTTTTCATTTCGATATAATTATAGATTCACACAGAGTTCTGGGAACTAATACAAAGAAGTTCTGATTCCCCTCTTGCATAATGCATATAGTTTCACAACCAGGAAATTAACAATGATGCAATCCACCAATTTTACTCAGATGACACCATTTTACATGCACTCTTGTGTGTGTTTAATTTTGTGCCATTTTATCACAGATATAGATTCATGTAAACTCTGACAGTTGAGAGACAGAACAGTTCCTCCCTCTGCACCCCCGGGCCACCACCAATCTGTTCTCCATCTCCATAATGTTGTCATTTCAAGAATGTTAGATAAATGGCATCATACAGTATGTAACCTTTTGAGATTGGCTTTTTTTCCCTCAGCATAATTATTCCTTTGAAATCCATCCAAGTTGTTGAGTGTATCAACAGTTTGTTCCTTTTTGTTGCTAAGTAGTCGTACATGACATGGACGTACCACAGTGTCTTTACCCACTCACCTGGTGAAGTATATTTTGGTTGTTTCCGGTTTGGGGCTGTTAGAAATAGGGCTGCTTTGAACATTCACATACTGTTTTTGTGTGAACATATATTTTATTTCCCTGGGATAAATGCCCAAGAGTACAATTCCAGGGTGTATGGTAAGCATATATGTAGTTTTGCTTTAAAAAAAAACTGTTCTACTGTTTTCCAGAGTGGGTGAACAATTTTTCATATCCCCCAGTAATGTACGAGTGATCCAGTGTCTGGTTCTTTGCCATGGTGTTATCACTATTTTTCATTGTAACCATTCTGATAAATGTGTAAGTGATATCTCGTTGTGGTTTTAATTTGCATTTCCCTGATGGCTAAGGAAAATGAGTATCTTCTCATGTGCTTACTTGCCATCTGTGTATCTTCTTCAGTGAAATATCCAATGTTGTCTTTTTCCCCTGTTCTAATTGGATTGCTTGCTATTTTACTGTTTAGTTCTGAGAGCTCTTTATATATTCTAGAAAGAATTCCTTTGTCAGATATATGGTTGCAAGTATTTTCTTCCAGTCTATAGTTTGCCTTCTCATCTTTTTCACAGGTTCTTCTGAAGAGCAAACATTTTAAATATTGATGAGTTCTAATTTATCAGTTTTTCCTTTTCTGAGTCAAGCTTGTGTGGACCTCTTTGCCCACTCTTAGGAACTCGTGATTTTCTCCTGCATTTTTGTTCTAAAAGTTTTATAGTTTTATATCTTACATTTAGGTCTTTGGTCCAATTCAGTTAATTTTTATATAAGATCTGAGACTTAAAGCAAGGTTTGCTTTTTTTCCTTGTGGATGTCTGAGTGCTCCAGCATCATTTGAACAACGCTTTTTTTGAAAAGCAATTTGGCAGTATTTATCATGAGCCAAAAGAATGTCCATAGCTTTTTCTCCTGTCACTTCTGGGAATTCACCCTGAGGAAATAATGCAGACACATGACTCAAAGCGGGAAGCTTGGAAAACAGTCACTGTAACACTTTTTATAAAATTGAAAAATTAGAAGTAGCCTAAATGCCCAACAATGAGGGATTGGTTAAGGAGGGCACACATGAAATAATAGGCAACAATTAAAAATATATTTACTGAATAATTTTTACCCATTCAACAAATATTTACTCAGTGTCCAGAGTGTTGGTGCCAAGGATAACATGGTGAGCAAATCAGACACCCTCTCTCCCTTCTAGAAGCTCGCAGGCTGGAAGTGACAATAGAGAAGATGGTGCTGCTGTATAGAAAAATACATGTGGTAAACTAACAAAGTTGTAAGCACAAAGTGACTAAAGCAATGTTAAAATAGATGCCTGTGGAAAAGAAAAAAAAAATCATCATTCTTTTAGGGTGATTGGGTCAAGGGCAGTTATTTTCCTCCTTGACTTCCAAACCGCCCGTAGCAATTGTCTTGGTCTAATAATAACCATGATAAAGAGAAAAGCTCCAGTTGAGAACTAGCCTCTTGCCATGAAGGGTGGGGAGTGTCCATCTGAAGAGGGACAGTCACACGTTCAACAATCCAAAGGGCACAGGACAGCTTGGTGTTCAGAGCCCAGCTAAGTCATGCGGGATGATCCCGTCAGTCAGCAAGTATCAATGGGGCATCTGCAAGGTGACCTGTGTCACATGAGGCCCTCAGAATACATGCTTAAGAACAGACAGTCCCTGACTTCTGGAGGCGCCCACAAGAGCTCTGATCTCCAGCTTCCTCGTGCCTGCTCAGCGCTCCACACTTTGCAGCTTCTACGTTCCCTCCTACAATCCTTTCCACAAACCTAGAAGGTTGTTAAGGAGGGCATAGTTATCCCCACTTTTCCAACAACAAGATGCAGACCAGTTGCCCGAGGTCCCCCAGATAGGACTGGCAGGGTCGGGGCCAGAGACCTGGCTTTTAGCTCGATGGTTCTCCAAATACCATTTACTCGAGAGCGGTTGTGTTAACAGTGGGCTAAAAGCATGCAAACCATAACTAGAATTTAAATCCAGTGGATGAGAAAGCTTATGCCTAAGGCAGGGCATGGGCTTCTCCTCCCTGGTGAACTTGGGGCTTAGGAGGTCAAGGTGGCAGGAGGAGTGTGATACGAACACCTGAGCTCACCTCCCCCCTCCTCTCCTCAGATGGTGAAGGCAATCCAGGTCCTGAGAATTCACCTGCTGGAATTGGAGAAAGTCAATGAACTCTGCAAGGACTTTTGTAACCGGTACATCACCTGCCTCAAAACCAAGATGCACAGCGATAACTTGCTCAGGAATGACCTCGGGGGACCCTACTCCCCCAATCAGCCCTCCATAAATCTTCACTCACAGGTAACACACAAGGCTGGGTCCTATCTCCTAAGCCAGGCTCCTAAGCCAGGTGTAGGAATGTCTGAAGGTCCCCTGGTGGCCTAGGAAAGTAGCTTAGACTCACTGGATACTTTCAGCGTGAGGGCCCTCCTCTGATCCACTCCTGTTCATCAGGCAGCACCAGAACTCACCGTACTGGGGCATGGGTATTCCTTAGAAAATGACCAAAGTGATTCCTGGCTTCCTGGCCCAAGATATCCTAAGAAATGCACGTAAGTGTTGAGATGAAGCAGGGGCAGAGCCGGCAATGGACCCCGACCTCTTAGCCCCGAACACTTCTCGAGAGGGCTTGCTGAGCTCTCTGTGTTCTTGAGAAGGAGGGTTTGGTCCTTCCCTGAATCTTGCCCACCTCATAGATGAGGACAGCTTCCCATGCGACTGCTTCTCCCGGATCAGTTTCCAGTTGCTCGCCCTACCCTGGCTCATCTGTCTTCCTAAGGTTCAGGGCCACTGTGGATGTCACCTCCAGTCACCCCCCCCCCGCCAAGAGTCACCCGCCACCTTCATCGGGGGAACTGGGGGACGTAGAAATGGCAGCTATGTGTTCTGGATGAGAATGGGCTCTTCTCTCCAGGGCAGAATATTTTCCCCAAACCATACGGAGCTAAGAAAACTGCCTGGTGATGCCTTTCCACCGGGCTCACCGACATCTACGTAAGCCATAGCTCACCACTTTCTTCCCTCCCACTGAGTTCCCGAGTCTGGGACAGACACATGGAGGGCCCCAGGAGGCTTACAGTAACCTCTTCTCATGAGACAATCAGGCTTGGGGAAAAGGGTAAACTTTCTAAGAATCATGGGCGCTGGAAAAAGCACCTAAGAAAGCTGGTGCCATTTTTATCTCTAAGCTTTAGGGACCAGCACACTTGATCCATCCCTCCAGGTTGTAGAGGCAGGGGAAGGGTCAGGGGGCCTCCTAGAAGGCCAGCCCCGCCTTGCACAAATCCAAAGGGATCTCTGTGGGACTCAACAGTGAGTACTGCATGGGACATGAGGCAAGAAGTTTATTTCCTCTTCCCATTGCTTGAAATCACCAACTCACTTTATTACAGATCTAAAAACAGCCGCCCAGGCTTCTGCTTGCTAATATTCTCTTGAAATAGACTCATTCCTTCAGAGTCTTATTGTACTTTCCCTTATGATCAAAATTAGCAAGAAACTTGCATAAAAGAGGACAATAATTGCTCAACGAGCATCTCGTTTGTAATTTATTAGTTTCTATTATTGTGGGTTACTATGGCGACGCTGCGCAGCCTGGTGACGGGAGAGATGCAAGATAGGAGCTGAGGAGGCTGTGAAGCCTCAGCAAATGGAGATGCACATTTTTATCAGTAATTTTCATGAAAATAATAAGTGAGGAGTTAATGAGATGGAAAGCCATCCTGTGGCTATTGTGAATTTTTTTTAAGTGTTGATCTAATTAGAATGCATCGGTCAGGAAAAGTAATGAGGATTTAGTGCCTCACAGAGATGTGAGGATCATATCAGAAAATTAGCACAAGTCTTTGGAAATAATCAGGTCCTTGGAGAGGCTCTGGATTTCCCCTCCTGGGCTCTCCAAGTCTACCTCAAGGGCTGACACTGGAGCTGTACCAGGGTAGTGGGGTAGGAGTGGAGGGCCAGAGGGCTTAGCAGCCACAGCGGGCCCCCTCCAGGTTGGGGTCCTGGGGCCGACAAGGCAGTCTGCTGCAGGCAGGGCCACTGGGGACGTGGGGTTGGCAGAGATGGATAACACGGGCTCTGGGTGAGCCAGGGCACAGAGTCGCTGCCTGCGAAAGTCAGTCCTCCTGGGAGATCCCAGCCTTCGGGGCCTCTGAGCTTTGAGGAAAGAGGAGAGAACTTTGATTCCCGTCATTGTAAATATCAGATCTCTGCCTGACAGCCAAGCTGGCCCTGGGGTGGCCACCGCAGAAAGGCTTCTGATCTGCCTAGAAAGAGGAACTCAGATAATCAGGCAAAAACAAAGACAAACTCGAAAAAGAAAACAGGACACTTGGCAAGATGTTCCTATTTGGAATTTCTCAAACTTGTCCCTTTCATTGCCTCTGCCTTGCCGCCACCTACTAGGTTCAGACTTCAGTGGGTAAATGAGATAATCAGACACACGCTGCTGCCATGGATTCCTAACCTGTTCACCTGTCCTCTCTGGCTAGCCCTCGGCCCTCCACACACACGCACACACGCACACACGCACACGCGCACACACACACACGCACACCACAAACACAAACACACATACACATGCCTCTTCAGCTTCTGCTGCTGGATTTATGGTCCTAAGACTCTGTTCATGTCCTTCTGCTCAAAAGCTCTGATTGTCCTCAGGGTTTTCTCATCCTTTCGCCTGATAGTCAAGGCGCTCCCAGGTCCACATTCCCCCATGCCTGTCTGCTCGGACGACACTTCCACAGCTCTGCAGGACCAAACCCGGCCTCTTCCCAAGGACAGTAACAAGGCTGCTCTCCCCTGGAGGCCTCTCTGAAGCCCCATCCAGAAAGGCCTTTTCTTTCTCCCAACTAAGTGCTGGAACACTGGGGGCCACTTATATGTAAATATCCCATGTCACTTTATCTCAGAGTCGCTGGTATTAAGTGTTATTCTCCTCTCCTAGATAACAGATGTGTTTTGAGTACAGACACTATTTTATATGCAGTTATAACCCACGCCTGGTGGCGGCTCACCCAAGGTCTGATGCGTGGACGGCCAGTAAATATCTGTGGAAAGAAGTAAGACAAGGAGACAGATGGACACAGATCAAGGGAGGCCAGAGGAAGCCAAAGGAGGGAAGGAGAAATCAGAAGAAAGATAAAGGCAGAGAAGGACAACTCTGGAGGGAGGCAGAGGAAGGATGAAGGTCTAGAGGAGAAGGGAAGTGAGGCTGAGGAGGCCCCAGGTGGAAAAGAGAGAGAAAAGGAACGGCAGCAGCTGAGGGCTGGGGGATGAAGGGGCAGGCTGGGAAGGTGCAGGGTCAGTGCGAAGCCAGGTGCGTGGAGGAGGGAGGGTGCGTAGGACGCGCCACGTGCTGTCCACATTCCCAGGGAAGGCTCCTGTCACTCTCCCTGGGCTGGGGGATGTGGGGCTGGACGGGCC